ATGTGACGAGTAAGGTGTGACAATAAAAGTTTATAAGATGTTACTATACGAGCAAAGACTGGTGTTTTACCTAGTATGTCGATGCAGAATGTCAGACTGCATTTAACTCTACTATTGCACAACACGCTTAAGGATAAACGATTTACCTACTGTGTCGCCGGTCAAGGAAAAGGTGTGACGGCGTCTAGCGACACGTGTTACACAGTGTAGCAAAGGGCAGCGCGCCAACTCTATGATGTTGTTAAGCTGAACGACGCTGTGCTCTGGCGGTGTTCGTCTGTCTGTTTGTTTGCTTTAGAAAGCTCTACGACGAAATATATGTGGAAAATTTTTCGTAATCAAGTCTTATATTGTATTAAATCTGTAAGAGTGAAGAGATTTAATGCACATTTCTATTACACATGTTTCGGTTTATATGTACACAGTTTACAACGGGCAACCTTCGTTTCCCTCACAGCTTTGCGGTATCACGATGTCACTTTGGGTCAACTGAAGTGAACAAGGTGCTAACTCGCCCCCACTCCCCCTAAACCAGTGTTCCTTGATTTCAGTAAAAAAAAAAAACTTCCCACATGAAAAAAAAAAAAACTTACTAATAAACGCGGAAAGAAAGTATAACCGTAACCAACTTAATGTTGCTTTGTTGGTTATCGGTGAGAGCGCGCATCGTAAATATTTTACTCTCACAATATTTTCAAAACGTAACAAAATATGTATAACTTCATCTTTTTTCACCCGACTTCAAAAACTTATGAGGTTCTCAATTCGTATTGTTTTTAAGATTTTAAGCTCAGAAATTTCGACTAAGTAAACTTATTTTAATCATTCTTTGTCTATTTGAAAGCTGGTGCTTCCCATGTGGTCCCATATTAATTTCATTGGTATTGGATCTTGACCTCCGGAGATCCTTAGGGTACTCCTGTAAATCAATAATAAAATGAATATAGAGCGATATACTTAAAGTCGGTTTTGTTTTTCGTTAATAAATGTGCTGTGTTTGACTTCACAAGTTGTCACGTTAGGACAACGATGTTACCTTGAAATGTACTTCACGCGGCGGTTAACGCCGAACAGTTTGATGTAAAAAGTAAAGTGAAGTAACTGCCCATATATGTCCCACAGCTGGGCAAAGACCTCTGGAAAGAGGTATTAGAGCTAGTCCACGCGATCTCATTGCGCATTTCGTCATTATTTCGAAAATATGTAGATTCGCTCACGATGTTTTACTCCGAGCGCGTGACAAGTCAGCACTTGAAATCAACAGTTTAATCGTTGACGGCACCGGGATTTGAACTCAGAATGCTCGAGCACATTGAATTAAACGAGATAAAACGATCAAAAACGGATACTGAGCTATCACAGCTCTTAAAGTTATGACCGTATGTTCAAGAGAGCATTGAATTAGTAAACGGTCTGTGTGGTGGCGATCACGTGGTGGCCATGAACTCGGTGATGTGTTCGAAACGCCAGGTATTAAAAATTAAACTAATTGCGGCGTAGCTAAAAGAAATAATTTCGAACATGTATAGATGAATTAAGGCAAGCGCAGCGTAGGAAGGCCTCCCACAAGGTGGACGGACGACCTAGCTAAGATCGCAGGGACGCGTTGGATGCAGGCCGCTAACAACCGGTCGAAGTGGAATTCAATGGGGGAGGCCTATGTTCAGCAGTGAACGTCCTACGGCTGATATGATGATGATGATGATGATACATGCATTCGTTCCCCGCCGCGCACGTAATAAATCAGCGCCTAAAATTGTAACTAACAATTTTATCGGTTCCGGGTTCGAACTCGGGTGCTCGAGTCTACTGAAAAGCGGGAGAGTCCGATAGCTTGATGTTTTATTGGACAGTCCTCGTGTCCACAGTTTTCAATTGAAATTGATTCCTTTACCGCTTCGGTAACGGAAATTAAGCCGTAATGTGGACAGTTAACTGAACGCAGGGAAACTTTAGGGACCCTAATTGAAGCCAGGGAGCAATGTCGGTCTATTACCAGATACCTCTGTTAGGCAATGTCTAGGGAACACGTTTCGCTTTGTCCTGAAGAGATGTGATAAGAATTTATCGCAGAAATTTGATCGATCGTGCTTTGTTTTCGTGAGAATTGAAAAATCGAACCGAGGACGGTTTATTTGTCTCGGTATTTTTAGGGTTCCGTACCCTAAGGATAAAATGGAACCCTATTACTCCGTCTATCACAAGACTGTTTCTCATGAACTGTGATAGTTAGACAGTTGAAATTTTCACAGATAATGTATTTCTGTTGCCGCTATAACAACAAATACTAAAAAAATAAATAAAAAAATGAAAAAATATTAAAAAGGGCACATGCGAAACATCTGTGGGTCACACAAATAGTTGTCCCGTGTGGGCATCGAACCCAAGACCCACGATGCCGAAGCCAATACCTTGGCAACTGTACCACGGAGTCATTAAACATTAAAATGATGATGCGGATTTATTTTTGTAGATGATATATAGAACTGATGTACGAAGATTACATATAGATGTAATCTTCGTTACCAAGCACGGCGCAATCTCTGAAATCCGTTACAAGGAGCTATCTTATCTGTAACTTGTAAATCTGCTAATCTGTTTCTCGTGATAACACCTTCGGCGTTTGCGAGTGTTCCAGTCGGTTTGATTTTTGCCGAATGCGTCGACAATCTCCTTACTAATATTATAAAGTTTATATGTATGGATGTTTGTTACTCTTTCACGCAAATACTACTGAATGGATTTTAGTCAAACTACAATAATATAGCTTATACATGACAATAAGACATAGGCTATAATTTATATACATATATTATGTATATCTGTCTTTCTGTCTGAAAGTTACGCCTTCAGCCTATTCTACGCACACGTAGTTGCGGGCAGCAGCTAGTCGTCTATATAAATGAAAAGTTAGAGGTCTATCGTTGCGCTTGCTATACGGAAAAACTACTGGATAGATTTTAATTAATTTCTCTGTGATTTATTCCTTAGACTCTTTTCCTAGACGCACTTAATGTAATGTTATTTAAGTTTAAAAAAAACCGGTCAATTTCAACTCGAACTCGTACGCCGAGGGTTCCGTACCTTCCCATTATACCGCCATCATAAAATTGGTTAATAATTAACACCGATTTTCTTAGGAACGTACCACCATAAAGTTATGGTGACACACGGACAGACAGACGGACAAGAGAGTGATCTTATAAGGGTTCCTTTTGCCATGACCGTGATAGCTAAGTGACCGAGTCATGATTTCATATTCTCGAGCCACCCGTGTTCAATTTTTTTTTTTTTTTTTTTAATTCAAAACTGGCCTGCACTTGACTGCCATCCCACCTGATGGTAAGTGGCGATGCAGCCGTTGATGGTAAGCGCGCTAGCTCAGTAAAAACCTATTCAATCTTGCCTTGAAGACGCCTACGTTGTAATCGGACGGAAAGACAAATCCCTTCGCTTAAACCCTAATTAAGTAATAGTTTATTTCCAATCCGCCAAGAACCGGTATCCGTTAAAGTACAAGGATTTTTGCTATAAACTCTTTGCTTTACCCCTTTTGGGTCATGTCCGTTCAGTTCACTTGCAGTGTCCATAAATCGCGAATTTTGATGGACTTTTTTTCTGTCAACGGCTCCGTGTACGGTTTAGGCTTCGCACGTTTCTACCGAAACTCGAAATGTTCTAAATACGCGCCCCCTTTACGCGTTAATCTGAGTATAGATAACGATCGCCCAAGCTGATAGGGTGACGTTATTTCAGCACTAGACCGAGAGACACCGACCTTGTAACGTAACGTTATAATCATAATGATTAATTTGTGATAATAACATTTTATGTGCGAAATATGCGTATGAGCTCTCCTCGTGTAAAAATATGCCCAAGATAATATTCATTTCTTAATTTAATTTAGCTCTTTTTAACCGACTTCATCATTTTATAACCTGTGTTTAAAGTAAATTAAACCATTATCGGTCAGTTAAACAATGAAAATAGATAGGGAATTATTTTTAATACTGATTATTACTTCAAGAGATTTAGTAATACTTTTATACATATACTAGCGGATCGGACAGACGGTGTCCTGCTTACACGGCTTAAATCCAAAAATAACTTATAAATAAATAGAAAAAGAAGAAAAACGAAACGAATTGTGAATCGAAACCATTCCCGGATCGAACACAAAAGATTTCATTAAAATCGGTCCAGCCACTTAGGAGTTCAGTGACATCACACGCACAAAAAAATTTATATATAGAATGATTACCTACAAAAAAGTTTTTACATTTTAAAAGTGGAAAATTAATTTTCTTTGCAAGCTGTACTTTGTTGTACTACCGTTGAAATTCGAGTTTATTGTTCCAGTTCAATTCCTTCTTCCACTTCCTCGTTGCTGGATCCATTTCATTGTTTGTTACAATTTTAAGCGCCTACTTATCACTTGCTTAGCAGTGAAGGAAAACATCGCGAGGAAACCTGCATATTGTGGAGTTAATGTCAAAAATCCACAATTCGGCCTTGTGTTGCACTATGCCCTAATACCCTTTATATAGAGGAGACCATCACCCAGCAGTGGGAGGAGGCCTCCTCTTTACAAGCTACATACTATATAAGCTCCTGTATATACGATCTGTATAAATGACTGCCTATGTACATATATGTATATATGCTATCACTTTATTTTTATACCGAAAATCTACCTCTACTATCTATTGACTTATAAAACTCACTGCATTGTAAACCTTGGGAGTTCTTATCTTCTTTTTAAGACTACGAATCTTAAATAAATACTCTCTATTTAGATGATTTAACCAGCTCATAATAAGACTTTTGTAATGCTATAATATAATGGACTGCAGTTTGATAAGAGCGTCCTCGGAGAATGGTAGTGAATATAAAGAAAGTGTGGACAAAGTGAGACTGAAGTAGAAGTAAAGAACAATGGGTAAATTTAACTCAGAATACCGCTCGAGCTGATCCAACAACCGTCTGAAAATAGAAGAAGAATGGAGAACGGGGCAAAGAAATCTGCTAAGGCGAAGGAGAAGCCGGTCAGGAGGCGCTCCAGCATCTTCTCCCTCCTAAAGCGACAGAAGAAGCTGACGCGACAGTACTCGGAGCCCGTTGGGGACTACACGAGGAAATACTCCATGGACTCGGCCATCTTCTCCGATTACAGGAAAAAGGAGAACGGCGCCGCCACCGCTGTAATTGAGAGGAGTTTAAAGCAGTTCGCCCTGTGCAAAATCGGTTAGTTTTCGCGCCAAAACTTTGTATAAATTGCAGCTTTAGTGTTGACTCAAACTTAGCGTGAACAAAGCCAAGTATCAGATGTGTTAAATAGAACATGGAAAAGAAAGTCATTCTGTTATGCTGACACTGGACAGAAGTTAATCTTTAGAAGCATATGTAATTTCAGCGGACGCTATTTATGTATGCGATATAGGTTTGATTTCTTCGATATTGGTACATTTGACACTTATCTTATCGACCGAATATTTACCCTTTCAACCGACTTATAAGGGAGTATGCTCTCAATTCGGCTGTATTTTTGTTTATGTTAATATCTTGAAAATTATTTTTGTTTTGATTTCGTTTTATTTCCTATGTGGTCCCATGTTAATTTCATTGCTACTGGACCTTGGACTTCGGATACACATCAGGGAGCTCCTCAAACACAAATAGAAATACTTTTTAAAATTAAATATGAAGTTAAGATATTTTAAAATGTAATAAAAATTATCTTTCAAACAAAACAAAACTGCACCATAATCGGCCCACTCGCTTAGAAGCTGCGATGCAACAGACAGACACACAGATACACAGACAGACACCTCAATATTATTATACCCATATTTCTACATGGGGGATGAAATATATAAGTAAGATATTTGTAGTCGCTTTTTTTTGTTGATAAAAATGTTATATTATGTTTGCATATTAAACATTTTTCTATGAAACCTTGTTATAAAAAAAACCTTGTTGAGAATATTTCATAAGCTGTCAATAAAAACAACTATAAAGTTTAAACGACAAAACATGCCGAGACGAGTAATTTTCATTTGCTTTGTTAGCAGAAAAACTTGACGAATTAACACTACGCCGTCATAGCCAAGTCTCTATGGACTACGGTTATCGTAATGCAGCAAAAAGGAACCGATCTATTACTTATTTTTTATTTTAAGACAACAAAATGTTTCGGAGACTTTTTTGTTTTACAGCATTGAGACTGACATTGGATACTTCTTTATTTTATTGACTGGTACTTATCCAACTATGGCCCAATTTCTAGTGTCTGTTGTCTAGTTATGTTAGTCGGTTGTACAAGTTTTGACGCATTTAATACAGAATTTTGGCTTTTCCAAGCAAGGAGAAATTACTTTTATTTGAATCGCAAATTTTAAAAGAAAATGTCACTGTTCACAATTTTCTTTAACATTTTCTCTTTAGCAACCACCTCCTTGTTGTCCTTCTAAAATATTGTATTTTCTATATTTTTCTAATATTCTACGTTGACTTGTTGGTTGTCTGTACCAACTTGAAAAAACCAAAAGCTGTAGTGTCTATTACCGAGTGTTTTTCAAATGAACAAAAGATGGAGAGGAAATGTGTACCTACCATAGGAATAAGTTTCTCAACAATTCTGCCAAATTTTATAAAATAAAAATTTGGCAGAATTGTTGAGACCCATTTGACGCGTCAATATATTTGGCGAAAACGTCAACGACATCTGTCAAATTTTCGACAGAGATAGTTAATAAGTCTGATGAACTGTCTACCCTGATATTATTTCACACGGAAGAACCAAAATGTTGTAAGATGTTAATTCTCCTTTATTTACCGTTGTGTTAGCGAAACTGCATTGTATTCTGTGTATTGAAGAAATCATTTGTAGATAGGTAGTTCTTTTTGGAATTACTGAGGGTGGAATTCCGTCCAGCTGTGGGGAGTATAGTGAGGAGACAATCAAAAAGTCACAAGGTTTTGACTTTAATAATATGTCTGTTTGTAACGAGCTACTGTGTGACTAGTGGGCTAGATCCGTAACTTTCGCAGTACCGACTATTGTATAACCGCTAAACGTGCTAGATTGTTCTATCGTCCTACGAAGAAGTGGCCTAATTCTTGCTAATTCGAATCTATTTATCTATCGCGTTCGAGATAACTGTTAAATTGATAACTTGGATGTCGAAGCAATTGTCAACAAATATTATTTTAAACAATTTGCTGAGTTTGATGGTGACTCCGTGGCGTAGTTGTCAAGGCATTGGCTTCGGCGTCGGGGGTCGTGGGTTCGATTCCCACACTACCATTGTTTCGGTGCTGAGTGTTTGTCCGCGTGAAATTTATGTATGCCACACGTCCTTAAAACATAGGATAATGTTATCCTAAAATTAGGGCAACGCAAAAAAAAGCAAAGCAAAGTGTGTTCGTGTTAGATGGTTTTGGTCAGTGTTTCTCAAACTTTTTCGGTGTACCGCCCATTTAAGAAAAATTGATTACCTAACTACATCTAAATTTCTCACACAATGTAACGTAGGCTGTTCAATATGCTTCTCCTTGAATGAGTGAAATGTCTGGACAGTGTGGCCGCAACCAATTTTCAACGTGCCGTTACACCCGTTTTCCACTGCCAATTCGTGTTTCAATCACCCCCCTCAGATAGCCTCAGCGCCCCCTGGCGGGGCGGTGCCGACAACTTTGCGAATCGTTTGTTTTGGCAATCTAATTAGGGCCACGTTCGTAGGACGACGCCGTGTAGACGAAGCTAGATTTTAATCTAACCGCACCGTCCTACGCCCACCCCCTTATAGAGCTAGCTGGCGCGGCGTCGGACACGGACAGCGAGGGATCGCGCGGCGGAATGGCGGACGCCCAGTCCAGGGACGATCCGGCGACGAGGAGGCAGGAGGTGCTGGCCAGGATACAGAGCCTGTACGTGGAGGACCCCGACAGGGAGATTGGCGCGGTAAGTTGACAGCACCATGTGGTGGGGCCACGCAACAGTGTTCACTGTTGCACGAATGGGCAGGTCCGTACGGGTAAGTACCACGACCTCACAGAAGACCGGCGTAAAGTAGAAGTGTTACACTTCTGCGTTACGTACTGTACTGTATTTTTGAAGTGAAAACTTCTTTTAGCGCTGTACGCATATAGTTAGATGAGATAAAGTCTCTGGATTCGCGAGTTACGAAAAAAGTAACAGCCTATACATGTCCCACTGCTGGGCAAAGGCCTCCTCTATACAGAGCGTATCAGGGCATAGTCCACCACGCGGCCCCACTGCGGATTGGCGGACTTCACATATTTTCGAAATATATATTTTTTTGTTATTATTTCGAAAATGTGCAGGTTTCCTCACGATGTTTTCCTTCACCGCGGAGCACGTGATAAGTCAGCACTTAAAGTTAAAAACTTCATTGGGGCCGGCACCGGGGATCGAACTCAGGTTGCTCGAGTATATTAAATTAAAGGCGAGCGCCCGGACACTGAGCTATCACGGCTCACTATCGAGTTACGAGACGCAGCTATAATGCGTGCTTAATTGAATTTTTGAATAGAGAATTTGATTTTACTATGTCCAATCAACGCAATATTAGCACAACGAGATATAAAAGTACAATTGATTCGGTGTTAGTATTCCCACACGGGACAACCATTTCTTTTTTATGTATGTTGATTTCGATGATTCTCTTTTGGTTGATTGGATCTTGAGCTCCGGAGATACTTAGGGAACTCCTGAAGATCAATTATAAAATGAATACAGAGCGAGATATTTGAAGTCGGTTTCGTTTTTCGTTAGTAAAAAAAATGGTTATTTTGAGTTCAGCTTAGTCGTTAAGGCGGTCTGGACGCGATCCGGAGGACGTCGATTGGCTTCCCGCAAAGGCGAATATCTTGTTGGTTTTTTTTTTCAAAAAAATTTAACGTTTCATCTTTAATGAAGAGATTGGCACTATGAATATTTTAAATTTGATACAGCAACGGCGTCATCTCTCGTTCGAATTATCGTTTTAAAACGATATTTGAAATTGTGTGCTGTAAAAAAAATAACAGTAGATGCGTCAAACATTGCTTAAAATGCGAAAAAAATGGGTGAGAAGTTATACTTCTTTGGCTTCATTAATTTTTTTTTGCATGCAAATAATTAATTACAATAAAATAATAAAAATACTGAAAAAAAATATGAAAGCGCCATCTACATTCTTTATTGAGAACTGTAAAAGACGAATATGATTGAGAATATGCTGCCATCAATAAAAAGCGGTTTTTAGGGCAGCTTCAAAGGTGTGACTTTTGGGTTACAGTGACGCGCATCTTAAAATTTGACTCTCATAGTTCTTTCATAATGAGCCTAAAGGAGTATAACTTCAAAAACAATTTAGAATTTTTCAACAAGACGTGGTAAGAAAGCGGTTGGGCGCCTATCCGGATGGCTTGGGTTCGAGTCCCGCAGTGGCGACATTCTTCGTCTTTTCTTACAAATATTAATGTTTCATCTTGAATGGAGAGATCACTATAAAAATTTAAAACTCACATTAATGGATATTTAGTTATTTATTTCATTTCATACATAAAAGAATTTGCCAAAGGCACTGTTTATTTCTTAAGAAATTTCTTCCAGCATACCTGTGACTGGGAATTGGCTACAAATGTTAATATGTTGGTTACAATATTGTGTTAAATTGTCAGTTTTAATTTTACACTTCTGTCACAGATGGTAAGCGCTCTGGCGGTTCACCCGATGTTAAATGATAACAGCCGCCCGTGGACATTTGCAACACCCGTAGGGTTGCAGACGCGTTGCCACCTTTTAATAAGTGGGCACCGGTTACTTTACCCAGCAGACGAAACGCTATCTACGCTGATGTAGTAGTCTATAGGAAAAATCGAGTAGAATTATATTGCGGCTCTTAATGAGGCCAGATGTTCTGGCTATCAAGGCATTGCCCCGTCATGATCATCAGATCAAAGTATTTCAATGATGCAACACTATTGGATTGGGTTCTCCTGTCAAGATAATAAGGAATGTTGCATTATTTTGTTGTATTTTGTAAATGGGTTTAACTTGCGTGTTTACTTCTTCGTTTCGTTAACTAGTCTTAGACACTTTCTATTTGGAACTTTCAGCAACTTTTTATGTCAAATTTTGTCGTGTTCCGACTTTTGAAGTTATTCTTTTGGCGCGTTTGGGGAAAAAAATATGCGAGTAAAATATTTACGATGCGGGCGCACACCGATAATAAAGCAATTTCAAGTTATTTAATTAAACCGTCATCAATTAAATTTATTGTCTTTATGGCAAACAAAGAGTACTTGCACAGGTGATAAGAGTTTAGTTTTCTTTTCTATAACGGACGTTACCCTTTCAATCCTTAGACTATTAAAGCTTCAGAATCGGTGGGCTAGCCAGAACCCATGGGTAACGCTAAAAAATATGATTTCTTGCCTGTGTACACGAGCACACATATAATGTTTTTTTCTAATAGAGCAGTTTATTACCTTATTTTGCGTTCGTGTACCTACGTGTTGGTTTTCAAAGTGTCATTGACACATTGAAAACCGGTCACGACAGTTTATGTCGATATGGTTGCTTAACTAAAACGTTTACCACTTGACCACCTCTTGTTGATTCTTTGTTTATGTAAGAAAATAGCTAAAAAGTTGGCGGTTAGCCTGAGGTTAAGCGATAACCGTCGCCCATGGATATTCGCAACATCCCTAGGCTTGCGGATGCGTTGGCACCTATCAATAAAGTGCGCACCGGCTACCTCACTCGCCAGACGAAACGTAGAAGTATAACAAATAGTCGTCTGAAGTGTCAATGGCCTCTTCTGAAGGGTCTAAGTTATCGCAGGGGTTTTGTTTAATGTTAACATTTGTCTAGAAAACGGGTGATCGCTCACCAGTAAAACCGGCAAAGTGCGAGTCGGACGGGCGCACGAAGGGTCCCCTACCATTATCTATAAACACGAAAAAAAATCATGTCTGTTGTATGGGAGCCCCACTTAAATATCTTTTTATTCCGTTTTTTAGTATTTGTTGTTATAGCGACAACAGCAATACATCATCTGTGGAAATTTCAACGATCTAAATAAGACGGTTCATGAGACACAGCCTGGTGACGGACGAGCAGACAGACAGCGGAGTCTCAGTTATAGGGTCCCGTTTTACCCTTTGGGTACGGAACCCTAAAAAGTGCGAAAGTATCATACTTCCACTACGGGCCGGTCTTCTGCGAGGCCGTGGTACTTCCTCGGACGAGCCTACCCATTCGTGCAACAACGGAAGCAGTTGCGTGGCCCTACCACAGTGAAAAGTAGTAGTGGTTCCTCCTTGGTGTATGTGTTTTCTCTGTTGATGTGTAGTGGTTTCTCTTGGCGGTAGGCATGGGAGCGTTTCAACATAGTAACGCAACCACAAATGTTACCCCATGTGCTTAGATATTGTTTTCGACGTTCAACGTTTTTCACCATGTCACATTATCGTGATGTCTTCTAGGTTAGCTTTGATTGGTTGGTAAAGCATCTGTGCGCGTCACCCGGACTACGTAGGTTCGAATCCCGCACTATGTTCATCGCAAAATATTTTTCCAATAGTGTGGATCGAAAGAGTCGTGATAGCTCAGTGTCCGGGCGCTCGCCTTTAATTCAATTTACTCGAGCAACCTAAGCTCGATCGCCGGTGCCAGCACCAATGAATTTGTTAATTTTAATTGCTTGCTTATCCCGTGCTCGGCGGTGAAGGAAAACATCGTGAGGAAACCTGCATATTCTCGAAATAATAACATAAAAAAAACATTTCGATATATTTGTGAAGCCCGCCATTCCGCATGAGGCCGCGTGCTGCTCTATGCCCTGATACCCTCTGTAAAGAGCAGGCCTTTGCCCAGCAGTGGGACGTTTATAGGCTGTTATTTTACCTTTTTTTAGTGTCCGTGTGGGCATCGAACCCACGCCCGCTGGCGCGAGAAACGGGGTCACTATCAACTACGCCAATTGAGTCGTCGAATAATAATTACGCTCTCGGTCCAGCTCCACCTCTGACCCCCAGGCCGGCGAGCTGGTGGAGGAGGTGGCCGAGGAGAACAAGTCCCTGCTCTGGTTCCTACTGAAGCAGGTGCGCCCCGGGATGGACTTGAGCAAGGTGGTGCTGCCGACTTTCATCCTGGAGCCAAGGTCGTTCCTCGACAAGCTTTCGGACAACTACTACCACGCAGACATATTGGGGCAGTGAGTATACTCTCTAATTCTAGAAGTAGCTTAAAAATCTTTTTCTTTTAAGTGAGAACTAGGGACCCGCCCGATGGATACTGTCTGAATTCAGATCGGAGGCTGGTTTTGCTCAGCGTAGGTCTTATAAGGATGGCAAATATCGAGGTGGTATGTTTTCATTATTTCATCTGCAATAGAACTGCTCAAAAGCCTTTATTTACACCGCTAATTTTCCGACACGAAACTTATCGCCAGCGCTGGAATGTGTCGAAATTATTCTTGCCCCCTTTCTGCTGTCAAATTCGCTCGGATGGTGTTGAAAATGCTTTTGTACGTATTAGCATTTGCTAAGCTATTGTCGGTGGTCGTGGGTTCGATTTCCACGCGGGACAAGTATTTGTGTGACCCACAGATAATTATCCCGGATCTGGGTGTTCGTTCCCCCAGGAGGTTTGACGTCAGTCAGGCGATTGGTCATAAAATAATCTAGACAATACCATTAACTACACGCTTGGCATGTTGTATCAACCACACCTTAGATTAGATAAGAGCAGAAGAAAAGAGAAGAAGTTCTTGTATTAGAAAATAATACAAACGCAGACATTCTTAGCTGTTCTTCTCTGATCTTTGCATATAAGCTGGTTTAAGACAGTGGCTTACATTGCAACGATAAGATGAAGAATTGGATGATGAATAAACACTGATTTTTGGTTAAACACACTAGCTGACTTACATCCTATACAAGTCCAAATGCTGGACAAAAGCCTCTGTACACAGTTGGTATTAGGGCATAGGTTTCATCGTGATACTCCGGCACTTAAGTCACAATTTAACCGGTGCCCGCTCGAGTATATCGAATCAAAAGCGAGCCCCGGCCACTGAGCTATCACGGCTCTCGGACGGAAGGGCAGTCGCTGGCAAATTGTCATACCACAGCCGCGTGCATCTTCCAGGGCCCAAGCGTTGGAGGACCCCTACCAGAGGTTCAGGTGTGTTCTCCGCTGGTACCTGTCCGGGCTGTACAAGAAGCCCAAGGGTCTGAAGAAGCCCTACAACCCGGTGCTGGGCGAGATATTCCGCTGCTGCTGGAGGGATCGCAACGGAGACGGCTACACTTACTACATCGCCGAACAGGTAAGTTGTCGATATGTATGTATGTACAATTTTTCCTGTCCAACATCTAATGCATCTATGAGGACAATATATACATATTGCATATATTATATACAGCGTGTCGTTACCATCGCGTCAGTAAATGAACACACGTCTAACGCTACTTGCCAATAAACATAAACTAAACTAACTGATACTAGTATTTATTTATAAATTAAATAATTGAAAGGCATCACTTTTGGAATTGATTTTGAACTTTTTGTTGGAAAATAGCTATTTTTTTCGGTAATTTATTCGGTCACAGTACCGCCATCTTACAGAGTTTTGAGGTACCAGAGCAACAATGCAAATACCGCAATGCAAAAACTCAAGAGATGGCGCAATAAGACAGTTATTGTGGAATCATAATTTTCCTTTTGTGTAAAATCGCTGCTGTAAACTTATTTTCAGGAAAAAATACCTTTGTAAATAGTATGAAATAAACTTAAAAATTAAAACCTAGTATAAATATAAAATTTTGATACAAATCATTAGAGCAGTTTCCGAGAGATTAACGAAATTTTTATACATACTAGAATATTCATCTAAGAATAGAATACCCTATTGGCCTAGTGGTTAGTGAAACCTGCTATTTGGGCCAGAGGGTGTGGGTTCGATACCCATAATTCGAAAATATTGCATGATGAACTGTCTTAAAATGTATTTTTCCATTGTCCGGGAGTTAATAAAATAATAATATGTATTTATTTCCAAAGAAAAGTTCATTTGTCAATATCTAGTGCCTTTAGTACAAGCTTAGCTTAGTTAGGACTAAAGAACGTTGTATAATAATGTGTCCTTATTTATGTACGTAGGAAGTTATATTTCTTTAGGGTAACAAAAAAAAACTAAAAATTTTATGCCATGCGCCGGTGCTCTTTGTTTGTGCAGAGGAGACATTAAATGCAATAATTGATAACGGCTTAATTAAATAACTTGTAATTATAGGTAGATTTCGGAAAGTTGTTATCGGTTGCCATGGTAACCATATGAAGTTGAGCTTTTACGTCCCGCGCTTCTTAAAAATTCACTATCGAACGTGCTAAAATAAGTGTAATGCCAATAAGTAGTAGTATAAATTTGTATATCTCTCTCTCTCTTTCTCTCTCAGGTGTCTCACCACCCGCCCGTGTCCGCCTTCTACGTCTCCAACAGAAAAGATGGCTACGTCATAGAGGGCAGTCTGCTCGCGCGCTCCAAGTTCTACGGTGGGTTGACTGCCTAACCCCGATTTACTTATTTTTTGCGATAACATTATCCTGTGTTGTAAGGACGTTTCGCGAACATAAATTTCACGCGGACAAACACCCAGTCGCGAAACAACTATCTGTGGGTCACACGAATAGTTGTCCCGTGTGAGAATCGAACCCACGACCCCCGACGCCGACGCCGACGCCGAAAAGCCCGAAGCCTTGGCAACTGCGCCACGGAGTCGTCTAAACTTCCGGAACTTTCTTTAAGTAACAGCTGTATATGTTCCACTGCTGTGCATGCGCGCAGTACCAATAAATGTCTCCCAAATAGGTTAGAAAGGGACGGCTGACACCACTTCTCTCCTCTCCCTCACGCAGGAAACTCCACGTCCGCTATACTGGAGGGCTGCGCGCGTATCCACCTCCTGAACTGGGGCGAGACGTACGTCACGACGGCGCCGTACGCACACTGCAAGGGGATCGTGATAGGCACGCTCAGCATGGAGCTGGGCGGGAAGGTGAGAGGCAATGAGCACACGCGAGCACGCACGCACACACTCACGCACGCGCACGCGGCCGCACGCACGCACACACACAAGCACACGCACGCGTCCGCACGCACACGCACACACACGCACACACACATGATAAGGCCACAATACAGTCTTACCCGTTCGTTCTTTAGTCAACTAGCTCGTGTTGGAAAGAGACAGCGACAGCGTGTCGCCGCGACTAAAACGGAGGTCATTACGCTTTTTCCTCGCGTGAAGATCTTAAGAAAATTTCTCGCGCCTTTTAAAGAACATCGTTGCAATATTAGAGACCCTATTCGCAGTGCGCCTACTAAATTATTAGTTCTATCTTCAATAAGACTTCTTTGGGCATAGCAAATTGTGGTAGGACCAAGCAACAGTCTCCGCTGTAGCACGAATGGGCAGGCCCGTCCGGGTAAGTATTAAATTTCTTAGGTTATTTCGTAGGTTGAACTTTTATTCTTAAGCCATTTATATTTTCGAAATGAAAAGGTTCGGCGGACGTCGGACGGAACTTTTATGTTTTAATTTTAACGTAAACAGTTGACGTATAGTGGAGCATGCTAAATTTATCAATGAATGGTTAAAAAACAAAATTTCCCCCTGAGTTTCTTCCGCCGGTTCTTCTCAGGTCAGTTTTCCTTTTCCGAACCGGTGGTAGCGTTTTGACAATAAATAAGTGTAACGCTTCCATATTGAATAAAGATGTTTGCATTTTAATTTATCGTTTTAACTCTTTTCTTTTCTTTCTTTTTCTTCTTTTCTCGTAGTCAATGTGAATTCCTATTTTCAGGTCCACATAATCTGCCAGGACACTGGCTACCAGGCTGACGTGGAGTTCAAATTGCGCGTAAGTTTCGTATTTTCCTCGAAGAAGCGTAAGAAAATTAGTTCTTGCTGCTTTTTAGAAAGAAGACTGGCTCGTTTTATATAAAACTCGCTGGCCCACGCAACTCCGTCCGCGCCATCATCTATTGGATACTTTTTCAATCCAGCTGATAAATGTACCTTACACCGCCATCTGTTAGAATCTTGTGGAACTCGCAGATAATTGTAACTCAAACTGTAAAGATAATGGAAAAAAGCTATGTTCATACCACGATATTTTTTCAGAAGCGGGGTTCGAACCCACACGAGGGTGTGGACCTGTCGTTTGCGCCAAAGGTCCACTATCCGCTACTTGTGCTATGGGTACTAGAGAACTATCTAGTACCCATAGTACAAGCGTTATTTAGTTTGGTACCAGACAGCGTTGTGTAAAAGTTTCCTAGAAATATTTTATTTTTAATGAAATGTAGAAAGAGGCATGAATGAATGAATGAATATTCTTTATTGCACACACCATGGTAAAAAAGATACATTGACAATCAACAATTATGTAATGGTTGTACAAAGGGCGGCCTACTTACTTATAGCAATTTCAATGTAGGAAAATATATAGCAATGTAGAAAGAGACGTATGATTGAATCTAATAATATTTATTTCGCAGTCGTTCCTAGGCGGCGCCGACCAGACGAACGCCATATCGGGCAGGATCAAGAAGGGGAAGGACACCATTGCGACGGTAGAAGGATATTGGGACGGCAGGATCGACATCAAGGACAAGAGGACGGGGGTGAGTGGTGGACCTTGGAGTTTGTGCAAACACCGGCCAAGTGCGAGTCGTACACGCGCGCGAAGGGTTCCGCGTACCTCTAAAAACGGGGGAAAAATCATGTCTGTTGTATGCGAGCCCCACTTGAATATTTTTTATTCGTTTTTTTTATGTGAAAAGTTGCCAAGCGAGCAGAGGATTCACCTGATGTTAAGTGAATACCGCCGCCCATGGACATCTGTTACACCAGAGGGTTTCAGATGCGTTGGCAACCTCTTAAAAATTGGGCTTCGGCCACCTTACTCACCAGATGAAACGCGATTATACTCCCACTTGACGCCGGTCTTTCAGGTCGTGGTCCTTACCCGGACGAGCCTGCCCATTCGTGCAACAGCCGAGGCTGCTGCGTGGCCCTACCACCGTTAATGCTATGCGTTGTTATAGCGACAACAGAAATACATCGTCTGTGAAAATTTCAACCGTCTAAATTATCACGATTCATGAGACACAGCCTGGTGACAGACGGACAGACAGACAGCGGAGTCTTAGTAATAGGGTCCCGTTTAAGCCTTTGGGTACGGAACATTAAAGGGGACTAAAAGATTTTCGCGGCTGCAGGAATCGAACCCACGACTTCAGGATTCGCGCCCAGACGTTTTAACCACTGAGCTTAAAAGTTGCTAAAGTATGGGCTATAGAACCGAGGGGGGGGGGGGGGGGGGGGGGGGCAAGTATTTTTTTCACTTGTGTGACCCTTGGATAATTGTTACGGGTGGTTGTATGAATTACACCCTCTTAGATATGATAAAAGGGCTGAAGGGCGACGATATTGTTGACGTTGCCTAACGAACACCCAACCCTCTCGCAGGAGGAGTCGAATCTGCTGGACGTGGCGGTCCTCAAGGATCAGAGGATGCAGAGGTTCCTGATGAAACTGGAGAACCAGGAGGAGTTCGAGTCTCAGCGGCTCTGGATCAAGGTCTCGGAGGCGATACAGAACGACGACCAGGTCAGTCTCATCACCACGTATCACCAAGGGGGGGGGGGGGGGGGGGGGGGGGGGGGGGGGGTTAAACATGCTTCAAAAAAAAACATAACGCGATTAACGGACGGGCCCCCAACGGGGCGATTTCCGTGACAGGTGGCTGCCACCGAGCAGAAGACCCTGATCGAGGAGGCTCAGAGGGCTCGCGCGCGCGGTCTACTCTCGCCGTGGCTGCCACGACTCTTCAGGAGGGATATCCGCGCACCGCCGGAAGGTCACTTAAGCATATCTATTCACAAGAAACCGGCTAAGTGCGAGTCGCATTCGCGCACAACAGGCTCCGTACCATTATCTATAGAAACGGCAAAAAAAATCATGTCTGTTGCATGGGACCCTCAGTAAGTTTTTTTTTTATTCTGCGTTTTTAGTAGTTTGTCGTTATAGCGGCAACAGAAATATATCATCTGTGAAAATTTCAACTGTCTAACTATAACGGTTTATGAGAGGCAGCCTGGTGACAGACGCAAAGAGAAACAGGCAGTAGAGTCTTAGTAATAGGGTCCGGGAAACGGGACTCGGGACCCTAATAAAGGTATATGAGTTAGACCTGTATCGTTCATCTATCTATCATCATATTATGTAATTTCTTATTGTTACGTGTTGCGGTTCGAAGGATTTGGAGAGAAAGACCTGCTGACTCTTTTGAAGACTTTATTCGCTAGTACTAGGTCCAACACAAAGCACTAGGTCCAAACACTAAGCACTAACGATGTCCTAGGTTGTAGCCAAGTCGTAGGTTTCACTGGTATCGCTCTTGGTCACTAGTTTTCACTCCGAAGTCGCCTCGAATGTAGCTCAAACTGAACTGTCTCGCTCGCCTCCCTGCTGCTTTTTATATGGGCCGAGACGAGTCCTACACCAATCCAAAAAGTTTCTTCCTGGAATGTACCCGACACGCGCGAACATGATCGTGATTCTGGAAAGTTCGTGAATGTATCCGATTTTCGAGACTATAGTTCCACAGTAGTTCCTCTAACGCCATCTAGTATTGAGTAGGGGGTTTTATGTTGTCTTTGTTCGTTGAGTGGTTTTACTGGTTGACGCTAGATGGCGCTAGTTTCTTTGTGTGTTCGTAACATTATTTTTCCGAAATGATGATGATAATATCATCATCATTATATGTTATATGTCCTTTCCTGATATATACTTGGGTGATTGGTTCTTTTAATTATTTCTTTGTTTACTTAATTAATTTAACTTATTATAGTCTGGGGATATTCATTTGTTTTCTCGTCTGGTTGGGTTTATAAATAAAAATAAAAATATAAATAAAGATATAGATATATATTGCATATATAAAATAAATATTATGGATAAAAATAAACATATATATATATATATATATATATATATATATATATATAAATATTTTATATAATACATATATAAATAGGACCCAACCAGACGGAAGCCCTCGGCAGGGGAGACCAAACGGCCGAGGGTTAGGGCGATAGGGAGAGAAACCGGCGGACGATGCGGGCGGTATCGAGGAGCACCGCCTTCTGAATTTGAGCCTGGAGCGATCCGTCCCGGAGTCCCAGTCGCCTCAGATGTTTGGAGAGGCTGACTGGGATTAACCCATTCGCAGACACGACTATCGGGATAATTTCGGCCGGCACACCACCCCACATGTCGGTCACCTCGTGAGCCAGGTCCAGATACTTTGTCTTCTTATCTGTTTCGGCTTTCACGAGGTTCTCGTCATATGGAATGGTAATGTCAACCAAAAATACCCGCGACTGTGCCCGTTCCATCACCACGATGTCAGGTTTATTCGCGACAATCGTCCTGTCCGTGATGATGGGCCGGTCCCAATAGAGCCTGGCGCGGTCATTTTCGAGCACGGCCTCCGGAGAGTACTTATAGTACGGCAGTTTCCGATCCACGAGGCCGTATTTCAGAGCGAGCTCCTGGTGTAGGATTCTGGCTACTAGGTTGTGTCTATGCAGATACTCAGAGTTAGAAAGCATGGAACAACCGGAAATAACATGCCGAAGCGACTCCCCGGGATGGCGACAAGCTCGACAGATGTCGACGGTGCCATCCTTTAGGATGTATTTCCGATAGTTGTTCGTCTTTATAACCTGATCCTGTATCGCAGACAAAACCTTCGGTTTCCCCAAAGAGGTCACCGAAACGTAGCCAGTTGAGGGAGGCAGTAGTATCTACGAAAGGCTCGTGTAGGGCCTTGTAGAACCTCCCGTGGAGCTCTTTCTCCTTCCATACGGCCTCCCAGTCGGAAACGCTCAGTACTCCCGGGTCCTGCCATTGCTCGTTGGCTAAGGATAGAGGGGTAAGTCCTTTATCACAACTAATGACGTCTGTGTAGATTGAATCATCCGATCTCGCCAGGAAGTAGTTGCGGAGGCTGTACACCTCGCGATTGTGCATGGTAAGGGCGCTCAAAAAGCCCCTCCCGCCATGCTTCCGCGGCAGGTACAGCCTCATCACTGACGATCTCGGATGATGCATCCTGTGTGACGTCATAGTTGTGCGGACTTTTCGGTCCAGGGCATTGAGCTCAGTTTGAGTCCACCTGAGTATGCCAAAGGTATACATGAGGACTGGCATGACCCAGCCGTTAAATGCGCGTGCCTTGTGACCTTACCCCTTTTGACATGGAGGACTGCACACTAATTATAGTAATTATTAATGACTTTATTTTTGAGTTAATATCGTAATTATAATAAATTATATTGAAAATTTAGGAAATATGATGGTGACATATTAAGAGTTTATTGTACTAAATATGAATAATTTTTACGGTCCGTTTCAGGAATCGTGGACCAGGGGTGGAGATATAATCATGTGAACACAAGGTATGTCCTATTGAAACTAGATGAATTGACTTAATACGTAAAGATAGGCTAAAGTTATAAGTTCTGCTTAATTCTCTTATCGTTATGAGAGAATTAAGCTAAACTTAACACATGCTCATCTGTATTATACAGAAGAATAGGGGTATCTATTGTTGACCGATCAAGAGCCGTTTGACAATCGTAATACATTTCTAAACGAAACTGCGCAATTTAATTAAAAAACATTACATATTCCATCGCATTTCGTAAAAAATCAAAAATGAGCGCGGAAAAATTAGCAAATAGCAATTCAACGACGGTCAATCCTCAACGACGGTGACGCCTTTGAGCCCGTGTAAATCGCACGAACGTAAGTATTTTACGTACTTTTCCCCGTTTCGTAAACGTCAAAAAGAGGCCCCGGGGAATAAAAGTATTTTACGTATTCTTCCCCATTTCGTAAAAGTCTAAATCGGCCCCGGGGCGGATGATTCGCGAACGGCAATCCGACAACGGGCGAAAGCTCACCGACGGCGACGCCCCCCAGCCCGTGGCAGCCGGACGAGATCGTCGAGTTCGAGGAGGCGTTCGTGATCTCGTCGGCGGTGGCGAGGGCGGAGCGGCTGCGCGAGCCGCCGCCGCCCTCCGACTCCGACTCCAGGGACGAGCTGGCGCGCCGCTCCAAGACCTCCGCGTGAGTGGACGCGCTTTCAATCCCCAATAGTGTTTCTGTGACAAGATTAATTACCCCCAATATAACCATAACATAAAAATAACCCTTAACGCGATTTTAAAAAATTTTAAAAAATATGTATATATATACAGCGTGTCGTTACCATCGCGACAATAAATGAACACACATATAGGGGATAACTTTTTAAAGCTGTATTAAACATTAAAATTTTTAAAACATCAATGTTTACAGAGTTATAAAATTTTCCAAAACAAAGAATTTTAGAACACCCTTACCTATAAAAGCGTAACGTAAAGTTCATTTGTAAAGGTCACAAAGCATATGAATGGGGTGAATGAATTTAAAAGAGACAAAACATACTGTTAGAAGGAGAAGCTTGTAATACGACGCTGTGGCGCGAGTTGTGTAGGATGTTACAAATTTAGTTTCTTTTTTACTTAATTAGTTTGTTTGAAAAATATTTTTTTTTTAATTATGAATTTTGTTTAACGTTAATATTTTTTTATGATTATTGGCAAGTAGCGATAGACGTGTGTTCATTTATTGTCGCGATGGTAACGACACGCTGTATATAATGGGAATCTCTGAAACGGCTCCAGCGATTTTCATGAAATTTAGTATGTGCGTAGATTTGGGGGCGAAAAATCGATCTAGCTAGGTTTCGTTTTTAGAAAATGTCCTTTTATCCCTGTTTTCAGGGAATATGACGGTAAATTTCGCCGCAAAAAAAATGTTATAATAGCTCGGTCGGTAATCGGGCGGCCCCAAAACAAAAGGCTGAGGTTCGGGTCACGATCATTTACACACGTTTACATTTTTTTACTTTTTTTCTTTACCAGATCATTGCTTTCTTTATTTTTTATTTCCAAAATACATCATTTACCAAAAACAAAAACCGAGCCAAGCTCGGTCCTCCAGGTACTTAAAATTTAACATAGTTTTAATTAGTTTACATTACAAATTGTTGTTGAAATATATTTGACAAAACAACACAATATGAACATTTCATTAATTTAATTCATTAGTAGGCCATTTGGTGAGACAAAATAGTGATTTATGAAATGTTATTCATGACCCTAAACCTTATTTTGAACCTAAATAGAGCCCGATATATGTATGTTTCCGCCATAAATTTGGAGCTAAAAGCCCTAAGTTGGCAAACCTGCCCCCAAGAGGGGTACCACAAGGTTGCCACAATCCTGAGGCGTGCTTCCCTTAGCGCCCTAAGATCAGAGTCGCCGCGGGCAATGTCATTACTTCTACCAATATTTCTACTTCCGATTATTGTATATTTCAAAATGTTCACTTGCATGTAAATTAATTTTAATAATGATCGAACGCGTCGCTGAATCTTCGGTAGACTTAATGCGCACGAGTTAATTGGGGTAAATATCTGTGGTTCAGAATCGAATCCACAACCCTCGGAAGCAAGTAGCTTTAAAGCTGCGCCACTGAGCTATCGTGTGTTGTGCTGTTGCAGGAGAACATTGAAGCAGGCCCTCCTCGGCATCGAATCGACGCTGAGGGAGCAGAGCGTCACGTTGGAGAGGCTCTCGAAGACGGTGGACCTGGTTGAGGAAGGGCAGAGGTCTCTGGCGCTCAGACCCCAGGCGGCGGCTGGGGTCCCGCCCGGGTCCCACGCGTGGGACCTCTTCGTGGGCTTCTTCTTTGCGCTAGTGCTGCAGGCCCTGCACAGCTGGCTGACGCCCGCGCGGGACTGAACCCCGGACGCCCCCTGGCGGCGCAACGACCAAGCTCACCCGCTCCCATATCTCGTGTGGGCTTATATTCGCGCCGTCGGTACCTTACCACTGCGGTCTGCGGTTTGCGATATCAATCCGTTCACATACTCACCGGGAAGCGTAATGCCCGGTTCCTATATTCAACGAACGGCCGTTAGTAACAAAGCTTCGTTGCTTTCATAACGACGTGTAGATCGAAGGAACGCTAGTGACTCGCTTTGCGTAGGTAACGCAACGGCTCGTAAGGAAAACGCCTCGTTTTGTTGATATAGGAACCGGGCGGACCCTTAGAAGGAGACAATCTGCTATTTTCGCTTTCGTAGAGCGCCATCTCTGTCGCACACTGTCTATGTGACGTTTGTCAGTCGAAGTGTGCGACAGAGACGGCGCTCTACGAAACCAATATTTATCGCCGAGTAACGTACTTTAGTGTTTTAATAATACCACAACAATTTTAATTCGTAATCAAAGAAGGTACGAAACCGGAGCTTTCTGAGCTTACTTTATTTCAATTTACGCGCCTTCGCTTGTTTTTTTTAATATACATGAAATAAATAAGCAAAAAAAAAAAGATATTTTGATGAGATGTTTGAATTTTTTTTAGTTTAAACGCTTACGCGTTAGAGAGGATAGGAGGTATGCTCCGCCTCTTTCTAACATTCCTGAACATTCCGCCGGGCGCGAATGTGGGAAGGTGTTTATGATTCCCTAATATAGTTTTCAATGTGTGTTATTCTCTACTGAATAAATACCCAGTGTCCGATTATATAGATTATATAGGATTCTGTAATACCAGCTGCTCGAATTTCTACCGCGATACGGAACTGACGCGTCTCGAGACTGCCGGGTTTTCGTTCGTCTTGAATCGACCCTAATGTTGCCATTTATAAGTATTATTCCCTGTCTATCTATTAGGTTAAGTCAGTTTGTCAGCTATCAGGGACTCTACCGATTTGGTAGTTTTCTTTTTGTATTTCATATTGTGCCTCTGGCAACCCCGCGACCCTGATAGCTCGCGATCTGTCAATCGATTGTATTGTCAAATTAATTCTAACGTCAATATTGTATTCGAAATTGTTATTTTGAAATTGTCATTATTATTGTATCGATTCGATTTTGCATCGACGCGTCAAGCGGATATCATTCATTAGATTGTTGATAGTTTTGTTGTTTTATCCAGTGAATGTATATTATATTTTTTTTTCGAATTCACGAATTGCGTTTTAATTATATCCGACATGATGATTTAATGTTTAAAGGTTGTTTAAATTTATTTTGTCTCCTTTTTTCTCCAATAAGGATTTGTGTTAAGTGAATTATCCCGATCAGTTTATTTTTAAGTTAATTTTAAATTAGACTCGAATTCTCGAAGCGGTGAAAAAATTTTCGTCCATTTTTTCTACAAATGTAAAATTTTGTCATAATATGAATGATCCTACTCAAAGATGCCATTGAACGCTTAACTATCATTCGATTAACTCATAATAGTTAGGCCTTACAACGCATGAGTTTTTACCACGCTTACATTAGTTTCACCAGTATGTATGTATAAATGTAACGGAACCTTTAAACGCGATTTCGCCCCACTTTGAACGACCAGATTTGAATCAAACTTTGCACACTCGTCAAAGACCTATGACAATGCAATAATTTCAATAGTTTTTCCCATTTATTATGATCAGAACCGGATGATTACGGCTGGATTAGCCATCCAATACCCAGTAGTGTTTTTTGTGTCAAGTACGCATTTAAAAAAAAAAAACGCTTTTATACTAAGCAGAACTACTAAGAATAAATACTAGTTAAACATGCTTTTGTAGATAACTGAACTAAAAAGTAGAAAATAATTTTCAGTAAATTTAAGTTGTGATTAAAAAACTAAAAGAAAAATTATTGCAGAAAAGCGTGAGGTTCGATCCCCACTAATGGAAAAGATTGTGTGATTAATATATTCTTTTTGTAGCGTCTAAGTGTTAATATATCTATATGCATTTATTTCCGAGAAAAGTGTTTTATAACGTTTATCAGTTACTTAGTAACATATAGTACAGGCTTTACTTAGGTTGGGACTAGATAACTTTGTGCAAAGCATGTCCTGCAAGAATTTGTATATTATTTTGATGCTATTTTACTTAAGTATTAAAGATGGAAGGAAAGTTTAACCGATATTGGTAATTGTCAGCCGACTCAAATTAAACCTAATCTAAATACAGATCAGGTTTTTCATTTTAAACTTAAGTGTGTAGGGATCTCTGATAAACTGTTTTAGATTCTTTTCATTACAAATGGATATAGGGCCATCTCGTATATTTTTGTAATACTCGTTGTAACAGCAATAGTTTACTGGTACTTAAAAATTTTGAGAGATGACGCTAAATGACGTTATCTAAATATAAGTTACCAAAGAACGAGATTTTACAAGAAAATTAAAACGAACCTAGGGTCTAAGTATTTACATAATATGACTCTGAATTACATTTAAATAAACAGTTTTTTTTTATCATTTTTACATTGGAGTAATAGATGGACGATTGAAATTGACATTTTAGATTGTTTTACCCGTACGAAACTAAGTGATGATTAGTTTTAGTATTATTTTAGTAACTATAATGAATGGATATGTTTTGATTCGGTCGATGTAATTTGCAGAAATAATTACGATAAAATACAATAACGTGTTAAACTTTAAACCTACGAAAGAGACGAGAGACAATCGCCATCACGCTTAAATCATCACTGAACAGCCCCCAAGTTTGTAGTGGTTCAGGATAACCACATAAATCATCATCTTTTCAGCCTGTTCGAGTCCACTGCTGAACAAAGGCCACCACTACAGACTGTCACGAAACACGACCCTTGAGGCACCTGCATATCCATAGATTTCCCGCGCATTTGCACACGTCGTCAATCCATCTAGCGAGAATCGTCTTACACTACGACGGCCAATATAAAATTAATAATATTTCAGTTCCATTATTTTCGAGCCGACTTCGCTCACATGCTATTCATCTATCTATTTCGCTATCTATTTCACGGTATTTGATATACATGAAATGGTGACAGGATTTGCAGAGAAGTGCAGAGATTCCGGAGATGAATTTTGAATAGATTTTATTTTTATTTAATTAATATGTAATAAATATTTATATATATCGAATACAAATAATGTTGTTTTACTATTGAAATAAAGTCATTATCTTTAATGAAAACGATTTTTATTATCACCACGTGTTCAATGATTTTTCCTATGCACATAAAACATACTTGTTAAGATTACCCAGGTAATAAACTGTGGTAGGACCACGCGACAGCCTTCTCTGTTGCACAAATGGGCAGGTGCGTTCTGGTAAGTACCACGACCTCACCGAAGACCGGCGTCAAGTGGAAGTACAATACTTTCGCGTTTCGTCCGGTGAGTGAGGTAGCGGGAGCCCAATTTCCAAAAAGGTTGTCAACGCATCTGCAAACCCTCGGGTGTTGCAGATGTCCATGGGCGTAAAGTGGAAGTGTTATACTTCTGCGTTTCGTCTGGTGAGTGAAGTAGCCGGAGCCCACTTTATTAGAAGGTGGCAACGCATCTGCCACCCTACAAGTGTTGCAAATGTCAATGGTTGGCGGTTATCACTTAACATCAGGCGAACCGCCAGCTTGTTTGTCACCATCTCACATAAAAAAAATAAGGAAAACAGACGAAGTTGTAGGTATCAGCTAGCAGCTATCGTTACGACGCTTTGAAATTTTAGACAGTTGTGCTGTTGATTTTTAAATAGAATAATAATAATAAATGTTCTGAGTGGCGAAGGCCTTGGAACAGACTATATTTCAAAAGAACCATATTCAGTTTGAGGGGGTCATGACACTTAATTATCAGTACCTAGAGGACCTAGCTTAGCTTGTTTTTTGCGTAATTCACTGTCATATTCGAATGATATTTTTCTTTCCCTGAAAACAGGGATAAAAGAATATTTTCTAAAAATGAAACCTAGCTAGATCGATTTTTCGCCCCCGAATCTACGCACATACTAAATTTCATGAAAATCGCTGGAGCCGTTTCCGAGATTCCGATTATATATATATATATATATATGTATATATATACAAGAATTGCTCATTTAAAGGATAAGATAATGAGATTTCTGCACTCGAGAGGAGCGTAAACCTCGCTGCAAGCTGAGAGTCGAACCCGAAACTTCTGAGTCGAGACCCAGCCGCTGCGGTGTACATGACTCCTATTACACGCCCAATCAGAAATGCAATTCCAACTCACTCACGCCGATCGAATTGGTAGTTACGACACGACGAGAGACGCCGACGACGGACGCTTTAGTTGGTCAGCTTGAAAATTGCTTGGGCCACTTTATCTGGGTTCGATTCCCATTCGGGGCCGAAATTTGCGTGTTCTAGGAATTGCTTTATTACTCGCTAAACCCCCCGCAAAACAGAATTTATATTGTTACGATTACTGCCATTTTTTGTCGATATATATTAGAGACTTCATTTGTTGCTAACATTTAAGTGTATTATTAAATATTTATACATCTTTTCAGTCGTCTTCTCCTTTAAAACTCAATATAATTATTGCTAAGCTATATGTGATAAAATAAAAAAATGTTTATAATGGTCTACCTATGAGCACATTTTAGTCGGAGACTAGCATTTAACAGGCTTACCATGAAATTCGAAAAGTGAATAAGGTTTATATTATATTAATAATTTGATACTTATAGAAGATTTGCAGCCAGTGCATTCTGAATATAGGTGTCAACGATGTCTGTTGATTAGTTAAATAAATCCTTGTCCCAAACTTTAATTCCATAATTAATTTAATTGACGAGCCGACTGGTGTACTGGATAATAACGTTGTCTTGCGCCAGAGGGTGTGGATTCGATTCCCACTACTACTATTTTGTCACGTAAAAAGTGTTTTTTCTAATACATTTGTATTCATTTGGAATAGAATAGTATTTTCAAGTATGGTCATCAGTTATCTAATACCTATATTACAAGCTACATACTACAGCGTTATCTCCCAAACTAAGGAATAGTTTGGGATATAACGCTGTGTAAAAATTTTTAGTGACAATATTTATTTATTGTTTGGTGGATTTTAATTAGTCTGCCGTGTTTTCGAGTTTGACGACAACCTAACGTGGTTCATCCCAAATCGGACCTAAATGGACTGAGTTATCATGCAAAATTCGTCCAATACGAATTGAACCTACACGTAAATATTAACGTTTAATTAATGAAACGCGAAACACGCCGTAGGAAATGCATTTAATGCGCGCGAGCCGCTTCGCGTATTCAGTTAATTGAACAAGCGGGCGATTTATTCGAGTTGTAATTCCATCATGAGAATGCCATGGAGAATCCACGGTCTGTTCTTCTTAACGATGTTTGGTATGATCTTTGAGACTCTTATATAATTTATCCCTAAAGTCTATTATGTTAACACGGTCGAAATATACTCTTGGAAATTAGATAATAATACATAATCATTTATTGCGTTGTTACAAAATATTTCGACAAAAAATGAGCCAGTTAAATAAACTTAACATCTAACTTAAAATCGTGCGCAAAACTTTGTTTCCGAATCTATTACGGTAAAATATTTCTTTTTAAATAAAAAAACCGGTTAAGATATCCGAGTGGTCTACATTAAAGCGAAGCGGAGACAATCTCATCATTAGTCCTTTATTTTCAGCAAGTTACGGCACGACAGGAGCTAGAACGGTGGTCACGAGGGTGCTGGCAAACAGTCCAAGGGAACTGAGGGACGCCTTGGCAAAGCTCTCCTCCAAGTCGGGCCCTGGCGAGCTTCAGCGACAGAGGAGGAGGAACTGCGTGCGGTTCGGCTTGAGAAACACGCTGTGCGTTTACGACGGACACAGACAGTCCGAGGAGCCGCTTTACGAGGATCAATACATCGACGAGGAGTACGGCTTCTGGCCGAACCTACCGCAGCCCCCGAGCAATGGCCACGGGGGTTTCGTGGACCTTACCCGGCTGAACAAGGACCTGCGCGACCTGGACGGAGTCCTGCGCTCGAGTTCCGACGACGACACCTTCTCCGAAGACTACCTCGACGTCGGGGACCTCAGCGCGACTAGGAAGGTCGACTATGACTACGTGTTAGGCTCCCCGAAGGAGCACCTGACTAAACTGAAGCTACACATCGTGAGCTCCAAGCAGAAGGGCGAGAAGGAGAGGGGGGGACTCGTCCGGAAACTGTTCAACTTGGAAACCGGGCCGGGAGCGAGCTTGAGAACTTTAGAGAGCGAACTCAAAGACGCGTCCAGCGAGGAGGAATTCGACGACGGGAAGCCGAAGCGGTTCGAGGTGATAGAGAACAGTGACGAATCGGAGGAATCTAGCAGGGGCTCCGAGGAACGGCCAGCTCCGAAGAAGGTGAAAGGCGCTAAGGGGGCCAAATACATTTACGCGCAGGGCCCGACGAGGCACGTGACGGTGGACCGACGAAGGCTGCCCCACTTCCTGCCGAAGAGGTACCATTGGGACGAGGGGGACATCAGGAATCTCTCGTATCTCTGGTTCAACGGCCCGCAAGGCCAGTACGCCGGCGTGTATAGGAAACCGTTATGAACCCAATTTATAACGTGATACGAATTAGAGTATTCATTTTTCGACCGACTTCGTAAAGAGGAGGAGAATCGACTGTATTTTTTTATTTTTTTTTATTGTTTGTTACCTCAGAACTTTCGATATTAACCATATTAACTTCATTGGTATTGGATCTTGCGTTCCGGGGATAGGTACTTAGGGAACTCCTGCAAAATGAATTATATAAAAAAAAAACAATTATAAAATGAATACAGACCGAGATATTTGAAGTCGGTTTTGTTTTAGTACTATAGAATCAACTGCTTTGGTTCTAAATCTTGTTTTAATTCCTCACTTACGATCTGCGAGGGATTTCATATTCTACCACTAAGATAAGTAAATAAATTTTAGAGTTATTCATTGTGTTTATAAACCATTTGTAGTAGACACTAAAAATAATGATAGACGTACATTCGCTTTGGTAATATTTACTTGAATATTTTTAATACGGAACTAGAGACGAAGAGAAATGTCACTTTCCACGTAATAATTTCAACTGCATCATTTTTCACTGTAAGCAGCCAGGAAGATTCAATACATACGTGTATTCAACGTAAACGTTCAATACATACGTGTATCTATGGATTCAACCGTTCTAGAATTATTAAAACATGTAGAAAAAGTACGAAAAGATTGTAGCCGCTGTGGGAATCGAACCCACGTCTTCGGCATTCGCGGCCTGACGCTCTAGCCACTGAGCTAAACGGCTGATAGCCACTCATTTTAAGTGCTTTATGTCGTAAGTTACTGTAAAGCACCCGTAATAGCTGACACGTAGTTTAATGCGTGTGTATTCACTTAAAATTATCTTATGTAATGCCAAATACCAGTCTGTACCACCCGGAAGCCATGCCGTGATCAATATTTAGCTAAACCAACTTATACAAATTCAAACATCTTTACTTAATATTAGAAAAGCAAGAAGCATTACACTACTTTATATTGACTAGCTGTTATCCTCCACCCGCGCGGCCAAAGGGAATTAACAATGAGTTTTTTATTATACACCAGAATATCACGCAGATGGCTGAATTTTTTCCTATTTAGTTAACACATATCATTACCTATATTTTAGACAATTGACACAATACTTTTATATATTATAGCCCATGTGTTATTCTGATGTATAAGCTATATTATTGTAAAGTTTCGTTAAAATCCATTCAGTAGTATTTGCGTGAAAGTGTAGCCTCCCCACCTGGCTACTCGAGTGGGAGTTAGGTATTGTGGTTCGCTCCGGCTGACTCAATCCGACTAATCGAGACCAAAGGGTGAGGCTCGGTGACCCCGTCACGGGGACAGACAAAATTTATATTAAATTGGCGCCAGCCCGCCCCGTGCATGACAAAATAATGCTTATTCTAAGAGATTGACTTAGTAAATATGAAAAAATATACTCTTAAACAGTTTTAGAATTTATTCGTACAAACTCTTTGCGTAGATTTTAACGACGACCCGGCTAGTTTCTCTGACTTTGAACGATTCTGCTTACCACTTTCGACACGGCAAAACTTTGGAAACCGATAGATGCGTATAATTATATCGAAAAACCCACTTGCAAGTTGATTTGGACTCTTGTTTTGTGCACAAAGAATCAGATTTTTACCATGTCTGCTAAAAGATGCTGTGTCCCGAACTGCAATAAGTTACGTAAGTATTTTTTACAGTATTAAATGTTGATATTTTGCTTGCAATTTTTAATTGATACAACCTTGTGACCTTGTGTTGGCACAGTTACATTTTTTTGTTACAGGTGGAAATGGCAATATTTTGCATTTATTTCCGAATCCCGATAAAAATTTGGACAGATTTTTAGTATGGACAAAAGCAGTAGGTGGTGAAATTTTATCGTTAGATGAACAGACTGTTTTTAGGTGCCGAAGAATTTGTCATTGCCACTTTGAACCTCAGTATGAAACAAGGAGCAATAGGCTTAGTCCAGCTGCAGTGCCTACCCTATATTTGCAAGGTTATACGTTTTAGTTTTCAAGTAGTAGTTAATACAAAGTAGGACCATGCAACAGTCTTCACCGTTGCAGGAATGAGCAGTTCCGCCCGGGTGAATACCACAACCTCACAGCTGACCGGCGTGAATTAGAGCGTCTGGTGAGTGAGGTAGCCGGGGCAAAAACTTTATTAAAAGGGACCAGACAACCCCCGCTTTAGAGTTAAGTCTTTCGACAGGGTAACCTGTACATGTGGTAACTCATATTGCAGAAGTATATCCACATTAACCCCTTTAATAACTTAAACCTTTAAATAGGTTAGGTTCTCGAAACGTTACATATTACACTGAATTACATGATAAACTTGAGCTGCATGTAATTAGTGGAATACTTGTACCCAAGCGGCTAGTTTTTGTTCATTTATCTACAAAAATTCAAAATTATATTTATTAGTAGTTTATTATTTTAATTTCCTCATCCTAGTCATCTCTAAGTACTAAGTTATTGGCAAAATCACTGATATAGCAGTGGAGCCATAGTAGGAAAAACAAAATTTTTATTATGTTAAGTTATCTCCGAATTTATTCTTATTACTTGATTACTGAGCCGTGATAGCTCAGTGTCCGGGCGCTCGCATTTAATTCAATAATCTCGAGCAACCTGAGTTCGATCCCCGGTGCCGGCACCAATGAAGTTTTTAACTTTAAGTGCTGACTTATCACGTGCTCCGCGGTGAAGGAAAACATCGTGAGGAAACCTGGCATATTTTCGAAAATAATAACAAAAAAAACAATTTTTCGAAGATATGTGAAGTCCGCCAATCTGCAGTGGGGCCACGTGGTGGACTATGCCCTGATACCCTCTGTATAGAGAAGGCCTTTGCCCAGCAGTGGGACATGTATAGGCTGTTACTTACTTTACTTTTACTTGAGTACTAATATGAGGTGATTGTGATGTTGATTGTGTTACAGGTGATGCTAGCGATACTGCTGTTGATTTTCCATTACAAGAATACAGTCACCCGCTTTGTACAGAGAATCAAGATGAATTCCCGATTTCGGTTATTAGCACAGGCGACAATGATTGTAAGTAATTGTTAAGAATGAATGGGATAAAAATGAGTAGATTAGTTTGATGCAAATTCTATGGCGGTTATGAAATGTGTCAATGCGGTGGAGATCCAAAGTTTACCTTAATACCTACCTAATTCGATTCTTACCGTACTCGCAGCAGAATTCACTGTTTGTAGGTCTCTGTACCTACTGCAGTAAGACAACAGTAACTCTTTAAACATTAGCTATTATTTTCGTGATACCGCGAGGTTTGCCTATATCGCATTTGTGAATATGTTTGTTTTAATGAAAATAATTAAAAACAGACTACTAAAACTACGCTTAGTCCACTTTCTAGGTCTATACATATCTATGATCTTATTAATGTATGAAACATTACACTTATGACCAGAATTTCATAACTTTTAAGCTATTACATAGCTTTTATCGCGGGCTTTGAGCGCGGCGACCGAATCAAGAAATTCCGTAACGAAAATAAAACCTAACACCTCCCACTCCGCCTACCATGTTTTACACTAGCTCGGAAGAGCGTTCCTTTTACGTGTATGTATATGGTACGACTATACGAAGCTCGCACGGATGGATATTACAATATGATATTGTTATGAACACACAAAGGAACTAACGCCATCTAGCGTCAACTATTAAAATCACTAAAGAACAAAGACGACATAAACCCCCTATTCAATACTAGATGGCGTTAGAGGAACTGCTGTGGAACTATAGTCTCGAAAACCGGGTACATTCGCGAACTTTCCGGAATCACGAACATGTTCGGGCGTGTCGGGTACGTTCCAGGAAGGATCTTTCTGGATTAGTCTGGAACCGGTCTCGGCCCATATAAAAAGCCGCGGGGATGCGAGCGAATACAGTTCGGTTTGAGCTACCTTCGAGGCGACTTCGGAGTGAAAACTAGTGATCAAGAGCGATACCAGTGATACCTACGACTTGGCTACAACCTAGGACATCGTCAGTGCTTAGTGTTTGGACCTAGTGCTTTGTGTTGGACCTAGCGCTAGTAAATAAAGTCTTCAAAAGAGTCAGCAGGTCTTTCTCTCCAAATCCTTCGAACCCCCTAACACGTAACAACTGGTGTCAGAAGTGGGATTTGGAGATGCCATTGACTCCGAGAGAGGACTTCAAGGAGGGTGTCAGGACAAGGGCAGGAGCTGCGGAGACCACACCCACTGGGGACCAAGCCCCGCCCACTATGGGTCAAACCCGACCACTGGCCCCACCGACCAGGCCACGCCCACCGACCACGCCCCTCAGACTCCGCCCACTCAGGCCCAAGCCCCGCCCACTTTGGCTCAAGCCACGCCCATTTCGGGGCAGGCCCCGCCCACTGTTGTGCAAGCCCCGCCCACTGACTCCACCCACCGGGACACGCCCACTCGTGCCACGCCCACTGGCCACGCCCACCTTGCCACGCCCACCGGCGGCACCACAGCTTCTGCAGCCCCTGAAATGGCTCTTCAATTAGGAAGTTTAATTAAATTAATGGAGCTGCAAAGGGCTGAAATTCAGGCAATGAAGGAGTCACAAGAACGCAAGCTCAGCGCTTTGCAAGCGTCACAAGAGCAACAAAAAGACCTCCAAGAAAAAGCGCTTTGGGCTATAAATGATGTTAGTAACACGGTGATTAAGCTTCGAAGTGATGTCGACGTAGTCGAAGAACGAGTTACCGGGTTAGGATTGGATGTTGAAAATGTGAAAACCGGCCTCACTGAACTACAGAAGAAAGTAGTGCGCCTTGAAACCACGGGAGTCGCGATGTCTAGTGGAACCACTGGAGTGGCGCAAGGACCAAGAGTGAAAGTGCCGCCATACGACGGCACTACTTCTTGGCACGCTTATCGTCGACAATTCCAGACTTTTGCTACTACCAACGGATGGACGGAAGAGCAAAGCCTGACCGCTCTCACTGTTGCGCTTAGAGGGCAAGCTTTGTCGGTCCTGG